GAGGGCACAGCACAGCCAGCCCAAGCCTCCAGCTCTGTCCTCTCTACTAGCCCGGCCATGCGCACGCATAGGCTTTTTGCATTAACTGGGTTACAGGAATACTAGGCTTCTTCTAAGGCTTCCTCAAGAGCTGCAGTTCTTTCTTTTTTTTTAATTAAAAAAATGTGTTTTGTTTTTTTTTTAAACTATCTTCCTCCCCCAGTTCCACCCATTCCAGGTAACATGTATTAACAAACCGGTAGGTATGATCTTTCTGTATTTTCCCACAGGCATAGTGTGCACACAAGAACACACAGATGCGGGGAGTAAGGAGCATTTGCTTTACGCAACATTATGTCTACCTCTCCACATCTTTATTTCCCACCCAACAACATCACAACGTGGAAATCCCTCCGGGTCAACTAGTCCAGCAGCTCTACATCTTTCCCTACGATAGCTGTGTGGTATTCCACAGTGCGGACGGCCTCAGGCTGGTTCTCAGTCCCCCCATGAACGTTTACTTTGTCGTGTTTATTTTTTTCATCATCGCCTCAAATGCTGCTACGACAGATCATTCCACTCCATGTCCTTAAGTTCCGGTGCCTCTCTGTCCTATGGAAGTGAGTCTAGCAATGGGAATGTGTTATTTTTTAATACAGTTATTGCTCTAATAGCTCTTCAAAAACTGGTCATGATTTATATGCGATTCAGGACAGAAACTTCCCCACATCCCTACCAGCAACAGATGCAGCGGTTCCTTCAGCTCTGAGGTTCCATGCCTTTAACCTGCACGTCCCTAACTTCCGAAGGGGATCCCCTTCCCATCTGTCTCTGTCCGTCTGTCCAGGGGCTCATCGTCCTCTCGCCAATCCACCACATCTGTCTGGTGTCGCGAGTGGTCGCCCTGCGGCTGCTCCTTGTGTCGGCAGCTACACCTTCCCAAGTCTGTCGTCCACTCACTTTGCTGTGGTGTCTGTTGCTACGCAAAACATTTAATTTTTACAGAGCAGTCAACCTTCCATGTAATAGCCACCCGTTATTTTACAGCTCCTGGGTTTCCCACCTCAGTAAAGGAGGGCCTTTCTAGTTAGGCCTCGCTCATCGCTGGGAAACACATACAGCCTTCCAGAATTTTGCCAATATCACATTTATTTCTTATACCTTGATTTTCACATACGGGACGGTGCAGAGGTCCAATGATTTCCCAGACGGGTAATGAACTGTGCCCGCATTTAACAGGGAAGCCATCTCTTCCCCACTGACGGGAGTTTCACTTTTGCCATACGTTCACTTGCTCTATGCACTGTCTACTCTCCACCAATCTGTTTCTCCATCAAAACCATACTGATCTCGGGCGCCTGGGTGGCTCAGTCGTTAAGCGTCTGCCTTCGGCTCAGGTCATGATCCCAGGGTCCTGGGATCGAGCCCCACATCGGGCTCCCTGCTCGGCAGGAAGCCTGCTTCTCGCTCTCCCACTCCCCCTGCTTGTGTTCCTACTCTCGCTATCTCTCTCTCTGTCAAATAAATAAATAAAATCTTTAAAAAAAAAAAAAAAAACCATACTGATCTCTATCCCAGGAGTTTGCTGTGAGTTCTGATACCTCGTAAAGCAAGCCTCCCTTTCTGCCCCAACAATTCACTTCTTTTTCATACTCTACTGGCTCTTCTAGACACTTATTTTTCCATGTGAAGCTAAACATAATTTTTACCCCCTCCCCCCCACAAATCCTGTGAGGATTCTTACTGGGATTGTTTATAAAGTTGCTGTATTAATTTTGAGTTAACATGAGTGCCTGGGTGGCCCAGTTGGTTAAGCGTCTGCCTTCAGCTCAGGTCATGATCCCAGCATCCTGGGATTGAGCCCCACATCAGGCTCCCTGCTCAGTGGGGAGTCTGCTTCTCTCCCTCTGCCCCTCCCCCAGCTTGTGAACTCTCTTGTTCACTCTCTTTCTCAAATACATAAAATCTTAAAAAAGATAATTTTGAGTGAACTGACATTTTTGTATTGTCTTCCCACCATAAAATGGGGTACATCTTTCCATTTGTTCACATGTTTTATGTCCTTCGGTAAGACTGCACAGCTTCCTTCACACAGTCCTGTGTCTTTCTCACATTTATTCCCAAGTAATTTATAATAAATCATAATAGATAATTTTTGTGGCACTGGTGAAAACGGAATGGGGTTTTCTTTGCCCTCATTTCCAGGGAAACTTTAGTATAGCTATAAGCAAGCTACAATATATTTCCTAATTTAGTTTTGTTTTTTAAAGAAACTAGTACCTTGCTTTTTCTAAACATACAGTATCGTGTCACCAGTAAAAAACGGTGACCAGTGATTGTTTAGGGTAGCTTGCTGGCTAAGAGTGAACAGTGGTCACGCGGGTACTCCTCAAGGCCGTGGCCACACAGGTCTTCACCACAAGGCCCACGCTGCCCGCTGGAACCTCTGTGCACTTAGCTCATCGCAGTGACCTGTGGTATCTCACTGGAGCCGCTAAGGAAGGCTGACAGGGAAAGGACAGGAAGTCCCAGGCTCTCAGCCAGAAAGGCAGAATGGTGTGGAATGTAGCATACCGGCAGCTTCTGCTGTTTACACGGCCTTCATGGATGTCACATGTAAACTTCAGAGATGCAGGCTACCTAAGACCCAGGCATATGTCTCCTCTTAAACAATAAACAAAAATAAAATTTAATTGGGGGTGCTTTACTAGATCAGTTTCCAAAATAGCAAACAGCTTTTAGTTGGACGTGTGGGCTATTCTATTTTCAACCAACACAGAAAGCCCGACTTTGAGTCAGCCAATAAATATTCTGAATTCCGATTTTAAAACATGCTAGATTGCTACCATCAAAAAAAAAAAAAACAACTTAAAGCATAAATTTTGCCCCAAGTGGGAATTTTACATAAAATATAGCTACTTAAGGGGCACCTGGGTGGCTCAGTTGTTAAGCATCTGCCTTTGGCTCAGGTCATGATCCCGGGGTTCTGGGACCAAGTCCCACATCAGGCTCCCTGCTCAGCAGGAAACCTACTTCTCCCTCTCCCACTCCCTGTTTGTGTTCCCTCTCTTGCTATCTCTCTCCCTCTCTCTGTCAAATAAGTAAATAAAATCTTTAAAAAAAAAAAAAATATATATATATATAGCTACTTGAGAGAGAGAGAGAGGGACGCCTGGGTGACTCAGTCGGTTAAGTGTCTGCCTTCGGCTCAGGTCATGATCCCGGGGTCCTGGAATCAAGTCCCACACTGGGCTCCCTGCTCAGTGGGGAGCCTGCTTCTCCCTCTCCTTTTGCCCCTCGCCCCTTGTGCTCTCTCTCTCTCTCTCTCTCTCTGACAAATAAATAAAAGAGACAGAGGGAGGGAGGGAGGGGGACAGATGCCAATAGTTTAAAGAATGTTCTTTACCTTGAGTTTTTGTACCTGGATAACATCCAAACCATGTGATTTAATTTATCATCTTTATTTGTTGTAAAGCTCACACAATTCTAAATTAAGTAGAACTTTAACCTATAGAAACTCAGAGGAAAAGAACATTTACTCTGATGTCTTTGCCAATTTTTAAAATACAGTAGCAGGAACATACCTGAGCTTTAAATGCAATTTCTAGCTGCCTCTGAGGCCTTCACGCTGTTGAGTCTGACATGACACTCTCTCTAAATGCCCCAGCCTCCAAGATCTAAAAACTCCTAAACCACCTTTTAGAGAATAATCTGCTGTGTCTTACAAAAAAGTAACAATACAAATGTGCTGGGTATTAACCTGTTAGAAGAGACTAAAAAATGAAATCCAAGATTTCTCTATTATAAATAGATATTTACATTTTGAAGTTTCGTGTAAGGGATTCTGCCCCGTGCTTGAAGAAACCCATGATCTTTGGGGTATTTCATAAAGCCCTTTATCAGAATGACTTGCTCACTATGCATGTCAAATAAGATACAGATGTACGGGGAAAATGCTAATAATTTTCTTTCCTCCCTACCCTGAAACAACACTGAGAATTTGATAGGGTACTTTTCCACGTCTGTTCTCACACACACACAGGCGCACGCGCCCTCACACCTCTACAAATACAAGCAGGTGTTTTATTTTAAAAAATGGAGTCACACTATAAATATATTCCTGTGCAACCTACCTTTTAAAAAACAGACTAAAAAAAAACAAACCAAAAAACTTCATAGCCCTTAAAGTCAACACACACAGGTGCTCCTTTTCAGCTCTTCGGATCATTAAGAGTTAACTTATTTAATTAAAGTCAAGTAAAGAGAAGCTGGTTTCCCTGGAGACCTGAGAAATAATTTCAAACATATTTTAAACATAAATCAGAGCTCAGAAGGCTGGAGGAGAGTAAGCAGAAACCTCCTTTTGGGTTCACAGAACCATTACCTCAGACAGGACTCCAAGCCCTTTGTTGTTTTAATTACGAAATTACATCAATGGTCTGAGGAGCAAAATACAATGTGCTCGAAGAGCTGCGGCTATTCAAACGGGACTAGGATGGTTTCTGCACAAATGCGTTACACTGACCGCTGTGCTGGCCACACGCAACCCCTGACCACCTGCGACGGCCCCGGGGGGCGGGCGGGGGAGGGGAAGCCGGCCTCTCGGGGCCGCCCCACCGCTGCTCGGCCCTCCACGAAGACAGGCCGCCAGCCTACCAGATCCTCTCTCCCTCACCCAGGAACCTCGCAGTTAGAACCACAGCCTGAAGCTGACACGAACGGGACGCACAGAGAGATGTCAGCAGGGAGACTGGCACCGTCTGCTCTCGGTGCTGAGCCAACTTTTCACGTTCTCTGAAATTCTGGAGATGGCTTCTAGACCTCGGGCCGTATGAAGACATTCTGTTCCCTGGTATCGGTTTAACCGCAGCCCAACTCCACCCTCATCCCGACCCTGGGACATGCAGGACAGCTTCGACTTATCCGCCCTCCGGAGTCCTCTGCAGAACCTCGACACCACGGCGCCTCCTCTCCTCGGGCGCAGCCTGGGCGGGGAGCGCGGCGCGGCCCGACGGACCCACCTGTGCAGGAAATGCAGCTTGTGCATGGCAGCCAGGCCCGCTGCGATCTCGCAGGCCATCCGCTGCAGCAGCATGGTCTGCGAGTCCCCCCTCATGTGCTCTTGCTCGTTGCGCAGGTAAGCTTTTAGGTCACCCTGCAAAAAGGAGTCCAGGTCAGCTCCCAAAGGGGACGAGGTGAAAGCCCTGGCAACCCAACAGGCGCCTTAGCTAATGTTAACTATCAAGGTTGTTTATTAGAAATCACTTAGATCTGACCTTGATAAAGAATCTAATTCGAACAAGTTCCAAGTTACAAAGAGTAATTCCACCCAAAAACTTCAAAGTACAGAAAACACTGTTACCTTTTAGGATCATTCTAACTATTAATATTAGTTTACCTTTAAACAAACTAAGTATTAGTTTATATGAACACATGTAAAACAAAACAGTAAAAATAAGATAATTTTTCAATGATGCACAATATAAACTAAGTGCAGAGGTATGGAAGTTTCCCAGTAACTAATGATATGGTGCCGTGTGCACTGCCTTTAAGGATCCTAGGAGACACACGGTCAGAGAACATTACATCATGAATGCTACCACCAAAGCACCTGTGAGCAACGGAGAGGGAGAGAACCAAAGGACACTGGGTGGCAGAGGAGGGAAAAAGCACGCGGAGTGCTGGCCAAGTCTCTGCCAGCCTCCCTAGGGCCCTGTGCTGCCCAGCCACTCTGAGGAAGAACATTCCAGCCCTCCAGAAAAACTCATAAAGTTACGAAGCCTGCTCAAAGGAGGGCAGCATGGACAGGAAAATGAACAAATTCACACCCGGACACCCGAAACGCAAATGCTGAAACACAGAGCCCTGCAGGCACTCCTGCTGGACTTCCCTGTGCTCCCCCTGCTTTCTGCCGGGACTTTAACTCAGGACCTTATGTTTTGGGGGAATATACGTTTAAGGAAATAAAATCTTCCACATTCTCCTTATCACGTGAGTAAATATTTATTGATCTGACTCAATTCCAAACTAAAGCTTTATATAAATGGTTGATACAATTTAGAAAGCAAGCCAATAGCTTTCAATGTACATTATACCTGAGTCAAGGAAAGACTCCAACTAAGGAAGAGAATGCATTTCTTACCACTGTTAGGAAAGACAGCCAATTTATCAAATTCTTCCCAGAGTAAAAACCTTAAAGCACAATATCGTGTTACAAACATCTGCCGACTTTCAATGCTAAGCACATTACAATGTAAATTCTAGGTCCACTCCAGGAATCCTTCATTCCCAGTTTCAGGGATTTGTATATGAATGATAATGTTGAGATTCATAATCACTGACACTGGAACTTCTGAGCAGTGTGCCAAGCTCTGTGCTAGGAGCTTCTACACTCGTTGCCTCAAATAATTCTTGCAATCTGAAACACTTCCTGGATGTAGAAATGAGGCCCAGGGAGGAGGTGAAGAAGCGTGCACAAGGCCACAGCCAATAAAATAAAAATTTCTATTTGGCTTAAAAATAAAAATTGGTCTCATTATAGTAAGACCCAGATTGATATTATTATCAAAATTATCAAAATTCTTTGGATAATAGTTGTTCAAAAAGGAAATCTGTAAATGTAATTACCAGATTACATTACCAGATTACACTCCTACTTCTCAGTTTTACCAACCTGTCAAGAAGATCCTACTTAGGGAGGCAGATCGAATCAATTTATTTTATAAGAATGAATGTAAAATAACTTAATGTCAACCCCATGGATTTGTCAGATTCTCCCAAACATAACGGAACTTTGGCAGGACAGGGGGGTTATGGTGGGGGTTTTGTGCCCTCAGGACCCATGTCTCCGACCTCTTATTTCCTCCCAGACATGATGCTGGAATTGCAAGTTGCTCCAGAAAAGAAACAGACCCTTTCTTGCCTTTTAAAAACACATGCCCCTCCCTGCTCCACAGGAAGCCTGCTTCTCCCTCTCCCACTCCCCCTGCTTGTGTTTCTTCTCTCGCTGTGTCTGTGTCAAATAAATAAATAAAATCTTAAAAACAACAACAACAAAACACACGCCCCTTCCCGCCCCTGCCCCGCCCTCGCCCAGGCTAGCCTCTACCCAGCGGTGGGAGTGGTGGGAATAACGACGATTCTCACAATAATTACATTAACCTAAACAAACACCAGCAACAAGCTCCAGGCCTACAGGCTAATGGGATTTTCAAAAGATAGCCCATGCGGAAACTAAATATGAAAATAAATAGTTTAAGTTTATTTACCTTACCAATGAAATGGCAACTTAAAGCCATTTGTCTACCCCTCTCCTGCAATATCCATCTAAGGAAAAAATTACGCTCACACAAAAGCAGCATTATGGTGCGCTGTATCTGGCCAATTCGCAAAACAAACAAGCTGCTGGCAAGCACTGAACACTTCGCAAGTGACCTTGGCCATGAAGGCAGAACGGCAGAGTGGGTGTAGTTATTTTTCAAGATTATCTAAAGCACAGTTTACCCTTGGACAATGCGGGGGTTAGGGGCACCGACCCCTGAGCGGCCGAAAATTGACATGTACCTTTAGACTCTTCAAAAACATAACAACTAACAGCCTGTTGGTGCCCAGAAGCCTTACTGAGTAACATAAAGAGTCACTTAACACATATTTTGTCTGTTACATATATTATATACTATATTCTTAAGGTAAGACAGGAAAAAGAAAATGTTAAAAAAAAATCCTGCGCTTACTGGGAAAAAACGGCGTCTAGGTGGACCCGCGCAGTTGCAACTCATGTTGTTCAAGGGGCAACTGTATACTCATTACCGCTCACTATGTTAAGAGGTCTTGTCTCCCCAATAATTCACTCTCCAAATTTCACCAGGAGGTAAAATATAACAGCAGAAGGGGATTTTGCTTAGGAATGTTCATGCTCCTAATGTTTCGAGCTTGGCAAAACTAAAAGGCTCTCCCCACCCCCCATGACGGAGCTGAAGCTAGCAGTTAGCACAACCTCTAACCTGGGTGAGGAGCTAACATCAGTGCGTGAGGAGGAGCCTGATCACGGTTTCTCCTGGACGGGACTTATAGTTTGTGCAGGACCCAGGGGTAGTTCTATGTTCCAGAAAGATCCTCAGAGCTCTCCTGGTACCACTGTTAAATCTTCTTTAAGGTTTTATTTATTTGAGAGAGAAAGAGAACGAGCGGCATGGGCAGAGGAGATGGAGAGAGAGAGAGAATCTCAAGCAGACTCCACACTGAGCACAGAGCCTGACGGGCTCAATCTCATGACCCTGAGATCACGACCTGAACCGAAATCAAGAGTCTGGCGCTTAACCAACTGAGCCACCCAGGCGCCCCGGTACCAGTGTTAAAAGAAAAAAAAATCAGCATATAAGCTTTGATTACAGTAAAAAATGTTTATATTAAATACTAAAATATTTACTTAGACTTTAATACTTCAGACTCTCCAAAAACGTTCTATTCATTCTATCCAAAACAGACAAAACTGTATTGAGATATCTGGTTTATTTTATGTTTCAGTGGTACTTAATGAGTAGACAGGGATTACTACTTTGGTCCCTTATTTAAAGAAAAGAATCATGAAGAACAGCAATGTATTCTGAATCAAAGTATACTTTCTTTTCTGCAAGTCTTAAAAATTTCTCAGACCCTCCCCAAAACCTCCCAAAAAGACTCGAAAAGAAACATGTATGACGCTAGATGGCAGCAAAGCGCCGCACCAAACACTCTGAGGGAGCAGGGACTGGGAATGGCCTCCTGCACTGAGTCACCCAAAGACCTTCAGAGGGACCCTCACACGTGTCCTCTTGACTTCCAATCCAAACCGCCACAAGGGCTCTAGCCAGCTTTCTGCAGGGCACTGAGAACAATGAATTAATTTCATCATAATGTAAAAACTCAACAAGTCAAGAGTTCAATAACTGGAAAATTACAGTCATTTATAGGTTTAACAGGATGACTTGGGGGGGAAATTTATGATTTGTAAACAAAAATCTGAATGAAAGGATGCAAGGCGGGCATGAAGAGCCACATACTCAGTCCCCGCCGATGAACGAAAATGTCCACATCAAGCTGAATGTCCCGAGCACCTGTCTGGTCACCCCCCGCCCGCCCCGGGCCTCTTTCTCAGCACGCAAGCCCCCACCTGCCAGTGTCCACACCCTGACACACCATCTTCTGCTGTTACAGATTATTCACCCCTGTACCCAAACACCCCCCAGGTCAGTCCAACCAAGAACCAAACAAGCCTCCCTCCGCCTCCACACGCCCCTTGCACTCGCATCCCATTTCCCTCTTCCCTCCACAGATGAACTCTATTCTGGCTGACTCACCCTCCACTCTCTCAAGACCACCCCCCCCCGCCCCCACGCTCGGCTGCAGCTGCCCCCACGGCGCCCTCCCACCGCGTCTCACCAGCACAGCCAAGGTGGAGCCCTCCCTTCTCTCTCCACCTGTCTCCCGGTCTCCTCCTATTCTCACTTGGCAGGCTTTCCCAGCCCTGGGCTGGATCTTCCTCCTCACTGATCTGTAGGTGCCGGCACAGCCCAGGGCTCCATCCTGGTTCTTGTCACTGCGGACACTCCTTTCCTATCCACCGCATGGCTTTAAAAATCATTTCTAACACATTTTTCAGGCTCAAAGCCCTCCATCCCCCGAGCCCCAGACTCATCCTCCCAACTGCTGACTTGATGCCCTCTCCTGGACGCCCTAAGGCGCACCTCAAATCTAACAGGCCTGATACGTAACTCGCACAAACTGCTCCATCTCAGGAAATGGCATCACGGTCTTCCCAGTAGATCAGATCAAAACTGAAGACCTCATTCTTGGGTTTGCTGTCTCTAGATTCCCACATCCAACCCCTCACCAAGTCTATTTTCACTGAGAGCCAGGGCCTCAGGGCCCAGGGCCACAGCCAGACGTGCAAAGGGGGAAGCCACCAGCAGGGCCCAGGGACCCCCTCTCCACCCAGGTGCCCACGCCCTCACTGTCAAGCCTGATCACGGTCATCGTCCTGCGGTACTAGTGTCCCCTCTACCACCCCTGGGTTAGGGACACTGTCCACACGCACCTCTGTTCCCCTGTAACTCCATGTCCTCTCTTCTACATGAGCTCTATGGGGGCAGGGACGCGTCATTCATCTTCGTATGC